GCGTGGGGCTGTACACGGGCGAGATCAGCACGACGCGCGCCCTGGACGAGGCGGACTCGCCGCGCCATCGTCTGCTGGTGCTGGTGAAGGACCATGGCGAGCCGGCGCTTATGGCCACCGCCACTGTGCTGCTGTCGCTGGTGGACAGCGGCCAGGCGCCTAAAGCCTCGTCGGGAATGTTGGCGGGGGTCACGGGCCCAGAGGTGGCGCTGTTGGACGTGAATGTGTACCTGATCATCGCCATCTGCGCGGTGTCCAGCCTGCTGGTGCTCACGCTGATTCTGTACACGGCTCTGCGGTGCTCGACGTCTCCCACCGAGGGCGGGTGCGGGCCGGGGAAGCCGGTGCTGGTGTGCTCCAGCGCGGTGGGCAGCTGGTCTTACTCACAGCAGAGGCGGCAGAGGGTGTGCTCTGGGGAGGGGCCGCCCAAGACGGACCTCATGGCCTTCAGCCCCAGCCTACCTCCTTGTCTGATTTCTTCAGAGGGAACAGGTGAAAACGAAGCAGATTTAGAACATTTGAAAGAGGTGAGTTCGTATGTAAAGTTGTCTTTCAATTTACCCTCTTCCTCACTTTTTTTGCTTTAAGGTTAATCTTTAAATTATCTGGTCGTCGTTATGGTATTTAATGAGTGTTATTGACATATGAGTTTATTCTTTAGTCAGAAATCCTAATTCAAAAACAGTTTTTGTTGTATTCTTTTTTTTTAATCTTTATTGTTCAGATTACATTTGTTCCTCTTCCCCCCCTCCCATAACTCCTCTCCTCCCAGTTCCCGCCCCACCCTCCGCCCTCCCTCCCCATCCACTGTCCTCATCCATAGGTGCACGATTTTTGTCCAGTCTCTTCCCGCATCTCCCATTCCCCTTTCCCCCCCAAGAATAATCAGTTCATTATAACCAGTTCATTCTGTACATCAGATTATTTGTTCACTTGATTCTTAGATTCACTTGTTGATAGATGCATGTTTGTTGTTCACCACATGTATCTTTACCTTTTTCTTCTTCCTCCTCTTAAAGGATACCTTTCAGCATTTCGTATAATACTGGTTTAGTGGTGATGAACTCCTTTAGCTTTTCCTTATCTGTGAAGCTCTTTATCTGACCTTCAATTCTGAATGATAGCTTTGCTGGATAAAGTAATCTTGGTTGTAGGTTCTTGCTATTCATCACTTTGAATATTTCTTGCCATTCCCTTCTGGCCTGCAAAGTTTCTGTTGAGAAATCAGCTGACAGTCGTATGGGTACTCCCTTATAGGTAACTGACTTTTTTTCTCTTGCTGCTTTTAAGATTCTCTCTTTGTCTTTTGCTCTTGGCATTTTAATTATGATGTGTCTTGGTGTGGTCCTCTTTGGATTCCTTTTGTTTGGGGTTCTCTGCGCTTCTTGGACCTGTAAGTCCATTTCTTTCACCAGGTGGGGGAAGTTTTCTGCCATTATTTCTTCAAATAGGTTTTCAATATCTTGCTGTCTCTCATCTTCTGGCACCCCAATTATTCTGATGTTTGTACGCTTGAAGCTGTCCCAGAGGCTCCTTACACTATCTTCATATTTTCGGATTCTTTTTTCATTTTGCTTTTCCGGTTGGGTGTTTTTTGCTTCTTCGCATTTCAAATCTTTGACTTGATTCTTGCGCTCCTCTGGTCTGCTATTGGGTGTAATATTCTTTATTTCAGAGCGTGTATGCTTAATTTCTAGTTTCTTTATCATAGCATCGAGGGTCTCATTAGTTTTCGTGAAGCTCTCCAAAAGTTTATTGCAAGCCCTCAAAATTGCGTTTTTTAGCTCTATATCCTCCATTTCTGTCATGTTTTTTTGTCTCCGCATTTTTTATGCTTTCTTGGTGCACCCCCTAGTGGTCTTTGTGCGCAGTCTTGTTCTAGTTGAGCCTTGATTGTTGTAGTTAATACTAGAGGGATTTGACCACCAGGCCGACTGGCTGTGTGAATCAGCTGTGTCTGCCGCGGAAAACTTCTGTCCTCTGGGGAGGTGCTAATCTAGCCTTTGCCTGAGGCGATCCGGCAAATGGCTCTGCGCAGGGCTTGGGCGGGGCGGGCTCAACAGGGCGGGCGGAGGGAGCGGTTATGGTGCCCTCAGTCCCGTTCCCAGAGGCTCTGCTTCTCAGAACCCCAGGAACCGCTGCAAACCTCGGAGAGAAAGCTGCCTTCCAACTGATGCCAGACACTCCCGCTTCTCCCGTTTGAGTCCGAGTCCCCAGCGATTCGCCCGTATCTGGAGCTCAGAGTCTGAGACTCCCCCCTGACCGAAAACGACAACCGCGCTCTCAGCCACCAGCCCGCTTTGCGCGCGCACCTCCGCACCTGAGTATTTTCCACACTGCGCCTCCTCTGAGCCTCGGTGTGCTGTTATTTTTCCTTCTAGTTGAAGAGTCTCTCCTCAGCCAGCCTTCCTGTGGTTCTGGGTGATGTCCGTTCCGTCTTTTAGTTGTATTTTTGAAGTGCTTGTTTGCGGCAGCAGTCTCCGGTGTTTACCTATGCCGCCATCTTGGTCTCTCCCTCAATTTATTTCCATTCTTATCTTTACTATTTTCTTTCTTATATTTCCTTTGGGCTTTGTTTGTTGTTGCTTTTCTAGTTCTTTTAGGTGTAAAGTTATATCATTCCCTTAGGTGTAAATTTTCTTATTTCTTGAGGTTGGCCTGTCATGTTATAAATTTCCCTCTTACGACTGCTGTTGCTGGGTTTCACAGATTTTGGGTTATTGTTTTTTCATTTCCATTTGTCTCAAGGTATCTTTTTATTTCTTTTAAAAAAAGAAATGAATGTTAACCCATTTATTGTTTAGTAACATGTTATTTAGCCTCCATGTGTTTGTGTGTTTTTCAGTTTTTTTCTTGTAATTGACTTCTAGTTTTATATCATTGTGGTAGGAGAAAATGCTTTACATGATTTTAATCTTCTTAAATGTATTGAGACTTGTTTTGTGTCCTAACATGAGGTCTATTCTAGAAAATGTTCTAGGTGCACCTGGAAATAATGTATATTCTGTAGCTTTGGGGTGAAATACTCTGAAAAGATCAATTGAATTTATTTGGTCTAGTGTGTCCTTTAAGACTGCTGTTTTCTTGTTGATTTTCTGCCTGAAAGATTTATTCATTGATGTTAGTGGGGTGTTAAAATATACTTCTATGACTGTATAACTGTTACTCTCTCTTTTATGTCCATCAAGATATGCCTTATATATTTAGGTGCTTCTATGTTGGGTACATAAATATTTACAAAGGTTATTTATCCTCTTGTTGGGTTGGTCCTTTTATTATGTAATGTCATTCTTTCTCTCTTATAGTCTTTGTTTTAAAGTCTATTTTGTCTGATATAGGTATTGCTACCCCAGCTTTTTTTTCCATTTCCATTTGCATGAAATATCTTTTTCTACTCATTTACTTTCAGTCTTTCATTCTGAGATAGGTCTCTTATAGACAGCATATATGTAGGTCTTGTTTTCTTATTCATTCAGCCTACCCATGTCATTTGATTGGAGAATATAATCCCTTTACATTTTAGTAATTATTGATAGGTATGTATTTATTACCACTTTATTCTTTTTTTATTATTATTCTTTATTTTTTATTTTTTAATTAAATCTTTATTGTTCAGATTATTACATTTGTTCCTCTTTCCCCCCCCATAACTCCCCTCTTCCCAGTTCCCACCCCACCCTCCGCCCTCCCTCCCCACCCAC